GGTCACTCTAAGAGCCTGGACTGGGGCTGATAGTCTCTCACCCTGGTAAGGAGGATGTCCTGGGGTCCCACCCACCTGGCCACGCCTTTCTTCTCTATGTGGTGGCCAAGCTACTATTGCGTATTTGTAATAACTGGAATAATGGATGATTAAGAGGCCCAGGAGGGCAGCCACCGAGAGTTAATAGGCTGCTGCCCCACTTCACCTCCCCTGGGGCACCCCAGCTCTGCTACCCTACAGGTACCTGCCTGTAGCACCTCCAGCCCGGCTGGGGGTGCAGGTGTCCCTGCTGCCACCTGGGGCACTGTGTTGCCTGGCCACACTGGGAGCTGGTGCTGGGCGGGTCACTTTGTGTCAGTGTCTTCTCTGGGTCTTCCTGTCACTGGCTTTATAGGAAGAACCTCCTTCCCTCTGGCCTCTACCTGTCCCCAGTGTCATTGTCCTGTACCCATCATTACCTACCATGCTTCCTCCAGAGTAGAGTTGCAATCTCTCAGCTGATATTCAAGGCCTGTCACACCTGGCCTCAATTTACCTTCCAGTCTCTCTCATGGCACAGAATCCCCTGAAATCTCCCCTCTGCCTTTGCCAACCTTGAGTTACCCTCATATTCTTGTCTAGTGCCCCTGTAGACTCAGCAGCACCAGAGGGTTGGGACTCCTCTTCCCCTTCAGCTCTTCTCTTCTCCATCCTTGCCTGGTGCTAACAGTGGGCTGGGTGGCACCATTGTGAGACCCTAGACGCTGTGTTAGGGGCAGCTGCAGAGGAAGTGAGGGGTGGGTAGTGTTCCCAGCCTCCTTCCAGTTGTCTGCCAAGCCGTCCTCTGAGGGTGGCCTAATTCCCTTCAGAGCCCAGCTCCCATCTTCAGGGTGGTGCTTAGGGAGCTGAGAGCCCGACGCTAATGCCTAAGAAAGTCGTGGGTGGATTAGAAAGCGGGGGGATTAGGGCCAGAGCTGGTGGCTGATGCAGGAGGGGAGCCCCTCCTCCTGAGGAAGAGGAGGCTAATCCTGCTTAGTGACTGAGGAGGCGGCAGTGCTGAGAGGAGCCTTCTTCCATCCACTCTGCTGCCTGGGCCCAGCAGGAATGGCAGGAGGAAGATCCATCCACTCCCTCTGTCTTCCACACATTTTGTCTCTGTGGTGTCTTCCCCAAGCCATCTTGCTCTGTCTCCTGCATTGCTCCCACCTCTAGGTTACCCCAAATTTCTCATCCTTCTCTGCCCACCCAAACTGCCCTGTCTAGCCATATCCCCCAACTTTCTCCATGCATTGAGCCATCCTTTAATGCCCCATCCGTCCATACTGCCCAGGAAGTCTGCAGTGGATGCTGTGGAGATGCCCAGATGGGCCCTGAGATCGAAATGATCATTTCTGCAGCCCCTGGGAGTGTTGGCTGCTGACTGCTCACAGTTGAGAGCCATCCTTACCTGCGGAAGTTATGGTCCCTCCTCAGGGGCAGTCCACACGCTCATCAGTGCAAGAGTACAAAGCTCTTGTCCCCTTACCTCAGGACAACTCTGAAAGGCCATCCCAGCTCTGGATTGGGCTGTGGGATTGGCTGAGGCTGCATTACAGCTCATATTCTCCCTCTGGCCAGTCCTGTGACCCCCACTGCCGGATATGACATGATTCCCCAAAGCATTCTCCATAAACCTCCACCATACCCTCTCTCCAATCTCTGCAAGAAGTGTTGCTCTTCTCTTTCTTCTTTAAGTCTCATGTTTGAATATGGAAGAAGGTAAGGTTGGTCTGTGAAGGACCTGGATTCAGGAGCTCCTGACCTAGATGCTGGGTGATGACCAGCAAGTGTTCCTTGAGGATGAATCCTCAAGCTCCTCTGGTTTCAGTGGCAACCATGTAGACCGAGGGTGGAGGGTGGTCCTGCCCTGGAGACTCAACCTGAGATCCTAGTCTGAAAGGGGAGGCAGATTCTGTCTTGGGAGCTGACTGAGGAAAGAGAAACAACCTTGGTTTGAGAGCTTAATCTGAGGATGGAGAGAGACCACATCCTGGAATCTGGTCTGAGCGGAAGAGAGGAACTCTGATTGGGAACCAAGTATGAGTGGGAGGAAGAATGCTACATAGAGCTGAGTCCAAGGGGGCAGACTGGCTGCTAGACCAGGAGAAGAGGCAGGCTGGACCCCGACGGCCTGCTCACTTGGGCCTCTCCAGCCTCCAGCCCCATTCACCCAGGTGGTCCCTGCTTGCTTGGCTTGCTCTCCAAGGAGTCAGCAGCCATCCTGTGCCTGAATGTGGCAGAATGGGGGTTCTAAGTTAAAACTGAGGTGCGAGTAACAGTAGAAAGGACACCTACTAGCAAGTTCCTTGGCTCCATTAGGTTTGATGTTCTGCGGGAACAGAGAATATTCTGGGTGCTGGGCCTCTGCAAAAGTCTGGTCCTAGGGTAACTGGAGAGCAGGGGTGGGGAGTGAATGGGTTGACCTTTGAGAGTCAGTTTGGGATGTGGCCGTCAGTTGAGGGGGACCACTCCCACTCTTTTCCCTACCTTTGATGGACAAATGCTAATGACATTACCAGCAATTGACCAGAAACGAATAAATAATTCAGTCTGGCCTGAAAATGGGAGAAAGGTACTTAAATGCTATTGACAAGCCGGTCCCTGGCCTCATTACCCATGCAGACTCAGGCCTCCACATCGACCATGTCCCCCAATTCCTTCAAACCCCACTGTGGGCAGCCTCAGGCTCCCTCCCACCCACCTGGCCCAGGTTGAGTGTGTGGAGGGTGGCCCAAGGAGACTGGGGAGAGGGTGGAGGCTGTGGCTCAGGCTAGAGGATCTCACACCCCCTAAAAATGTACAGCAATCCTCTAAGGTTTTCCGTTTCCTCAAACACTTGCAACAGCCCTTGTTCCCAAGAAGGGTGTCCTTGTCAGGTCCCTCTCAACCCCCGTCCCAGGTGCACATGTAAGAGGGGGGCACAGGCATGCATGCACATGTGCAGACACAGAGCAAGCCTACAGCTGCTGCTGCTTCGAATCCTCTGCCAGGACCCGAGAAGAGTGGTGACCCCCTGGGGCAGCTGTCAGTCACTGTGCTCTCAGGGAATACAAACTCATTAAACGTTTTCCTGCCTTGTCACAGGGGCCCCAGTCCCGGAGTTAGGCCTGAGGAGGAGGAGGAGGAGGAAACAAATGTGCAGCTGATCCTTTAAAAGCACATCTTGTGTTTCTGACCTGGGAGAAGAGGCGGTATTATGAAGGGTGAGGACTACTCAGGGGAGGCTCTGGCTCTGGGTTCCTGGGGAGTTGGCATTTCTGGCCCCAACAGCATATGTGTATACAGTTTCCCCAGCAGCAGCTCTGAAGAACAAAACCTTTCCATTTTCTTTGAGTCTCCTTCTCCTCCTTAACTGCTTTGGTCTGACTTTCCTTCAGAAAGGATGTCTCTTCTGGCGTCATCTGGCCTCTTTAGTGGCTTATTCTCTGGGGCCAACATATTTATGTCAGAGTCACAGAGCCTCTGGCAAGGTTCACAGTCAGAAGCCCACAACACTCACTGGTCAGAGGTGAGAGAGCCTCAGAGACCTTCCCGTCCAAGGCCTGGATCCTGAGCACAGACCTAGGGGAGGGAATTTGAGAAGGAAGCTGTGACCTGGGCCTGAGGGTCCAGGATGCTCCAGTAGGTATAAATGGCTCCTCGCAGGCCCAGCCCAGGAAATAGTTCTAAAAAGGATTCATCCCTTTGTGAGCCACACGGTCCACACAAAAGTGGGCAAAAGTCTCATACCAACCCAGTGCCTATCACTGGCAGCCAGAATTGTCTCTTCACTTCCTGAGGGGCCCAGACCCTGCAGTCTATAGGGTTCTGGCTCTGGCCTCCAGCCCCCACCTTCCTCGTGGTCTCCTCCCTGCTGCCTGCCAGAATCTTGCCCTGGGCAGGGCTTGGCTCCAGTTTCCCTGAGCTAGCCCTTTTTCTCCTTCTGCCCGCACAGAGGTCCGAGGTCTCCTCGGATCTCCCATGCCCAGTACCCCCTGCCCTGTCTCTGGAGTGTGCTGGGAAACCCATCATCCATAAGGCCCTTCTTGCTTATGTTTCTTCCCACGGATATGTCCCACAGGGAGTCATTTATCCAGATCGACTGGCTCTCCTCAGTACAAACATTCGCAGGAGCATTAACAAGCCTAAAACCCAATTAGCCTTCAATTACTCAGGCCTTAGCCAGATTTTCTGTGGTGGGGACAGACATAAGGAATGTGTTTGGCACTGCCTGTGTGGGAGTCTCCTCCTCCTCTGGACCCACTGCCCCCATGGTCACCAGTCCTGTCCCAGCCTGGCTGTTTCCCCACTGCTTTCCCTTCTGCCCCATGTGAGAACTCTTCCACTGAGCTATACCCCAACCCCTTCATCTCTTGAAATGACCATTATTCTGAAATGTACATATGTGTAGTTTGAAAAGACTTGTAAAAACATAATGTAGAAGAATACAAGATGAAAAGCTAAATCCCCTGCCCCATAAATCCCACTGATAATTTAGGGGCTCTTTCTCCCCATGTTCAATTCTATCCATTTGTATGTGTGCTCATGAACATGTAAACACACACCCCACATAGTTTTAAGTGTTTTTATTTTTTAATGTCTTCAAATTGGGATAATGCTATTCGGATTATTTAATGATCTACTCTATTCGCTGGCAAGTGACATTTAATTTGAACTTCTCTTTCCCTCATCTGCCTTCCTCTTCCCCTTTGCTTCCATGCCTTCCTCTCTTCTCCCTCAGTTCCTTCTGTCCCTCCCACCTTGCTAACCCCTCTCTCCTCTCTCTCCTTCTCTCCTCATCTCCTCCTCCCCTTTCACACCCCCATCCTAACATCCTCTCCTCCTTCTCCTTCCTATCTCCACCCCCTTCTCCCTCTTCCCTGGTTACTGCAGCCCTGGGGGAGGGACAGCCAGAGCAGCTGTTAGCTCTGCCCCCTAATACTCTGAGTCCTACTCCCTCTTAACACCTCCCTGAGCCTGGGCCTCTAAGCCCCATCTCCCTCTGTCTCCCTCTAATCACCAAGGCTTATTTCTGATTTTCTGAAGTGACAAGGAGCTGAGTTTGGGGGAGGGAAGACTGTCAGCCAGCATCTCCTAGGATTGAGGGAGGAACGGATGCCGAAAGGGAGGCCTGGCCGATGAGATGTAGCAGCAGAGACTCCAGGTGGGCCTTCCTCGCTTTCTTGGAACAAACAGGTAGCCCAAATTCTTTTGCCAGCCTCTTCTGCCTTCACTTACTATGCATATACTTCCACCCTTAGGTGTCCTTCAGGGTAGATTCCATTTCTCTGCTTTCCTTTGTAAAAAGGAAAGTGACCTCACCTCTTCCCCAAGGGAGCTTCTGTGGATTGTCTAATGCTCCTCCTTCTCCTGCCCCTGCCACCATCCTTCCAGGAGAATGCCAAGTCAGCCAACACCGCCCCACTCCTCCTATCCCACTCACTCCTTTGATCTTGGAGGTGGGAGAAGCTTCTGGGCTGTAGAGGCCTTGTCTTCTGCTTCCTACCTTATAGAAATCCGGGTCTCCCTTCCCCTGTCCCAGAGCCATGTTTCCTAAAGCTCAGTGAATTGGCATAAATTTAAGGACAGCAGCAAATCTCCAGATATTTTAAAGGCATGTAAGGTTTAAAATATGTGCTGAGAGTAGAAGTCTCAAGAGGGGTGGGAGAAGGGGGCCAGCATTAATTCTGGGGAGGTACACTTGAACCCCAGTTCTAGCTCTGCTGAGTGACCCTGGATGCTCCCCCTGGTGTCTCTGAGCCTTGGTTTCCTCCTCAGAGCCCCCCTACAATGTCTACAAGGCCCAGCAGGAGTACCTGGCTCCTGCCTGGAAGTGTTCACCCTGCGCTAATTTAATTACATGGCCTAACTGGGCCCAGGCTGGGGAGGTGGTTAATGGCAGCTGCAGAGACAGTGAGTAATCAAGAATTAATTAAGCATTTCTGGGGATTCCCAGTCTGGCCCAGGGATTCCTGGGAGCCTAGCTATGGCTGGATGGGGAAGGCAGGACTTCTCTAGCGCTCTCTCTTGAAGAGGCAGGAGGCCAGGCCCTAGGTCCAGAAAGGCTCTGAGTCCAGGGTTGCCCACCAAAATAGTCTTTGGCTACGGCGCCAGCAAGGGGCTGGGCTGCATGGAGTTGGACAGGTGCCTATGCCAGTGGGTATGGACACATCTGCTTAAGGCTCGGCTTGTGCTGAGGACCAGCTTAGTTAGGGTGGTTGGGTGGAAAAGGAAATGTGGGGCTTTAGCCTCCGGGCTTTGGAGTCGGGCAGCCCTGGATTTCAGCCTCAGTTCACTGCAAACCGGCTGTGGGATAGGGCCTTCGCTCGCTCCTCACTTGCATTCCCTCTGCCCAAGGCTTGTCCTAGGTTTTAGTGAACACACGCCTCCTTCTGTGACCACACCCTCAGGTCGCTACTGGTGTTATTTTCTGCTCATTTATTTCTTGTGTGGCCGCCTGCCTCCTCCACTAGAATTAAGTTCCACGAAGGCAGAGTTGGGCCTGGAGCACAGCTCTCTTTAGAACCTAAAGCAGCGCTGGGTGTAGAAAGTGTGTGGAGAATGTAGAAACCTCTCTGAACCTGTTCGCTCTCCTGGGAAATGCAGATTATACTGCAAACTGGAAGGTGTGGGAATTTAAAGTGTGCTCTCGGGAAGCGCCGAGCACGGTCCCCGGCCACCACGGAGGCCACGGCCAGATCATCACTTGATCCGGGGCGCATCCTGTGCACCACGTCCAGGTCCGGCGCCAGCGCCAGCGCCAGGCCTCGAGCCCCGCCCGCCTCGGGCCCCGCTCCTTCCCATGCGCCCCTGCGCCGCCGGCGCTTTGAAGTCCCAATCCGGCAAATAGAGTCAATCAATTATGAAGGGAACAATCTGGCGGCCCCTCGGGGAGCGGCGGCCGAGCGATCCCGGGGGATTAGGCCGCAAATCGCGCTGAGCCTCCCTAAGTGACAGCGAGAGAATCGCGCGCGGCGGCGGCGGCGGCGGCGACGGTGGCGGGAGGGAGCGCGGCCGCTAACCCGATTATGCAGATCCGCGGGGGGGCGCGGATTAGGCCTCGGGGCGGCTCGCCCTAAGCGGCTTGCGGATTTGGGAAAAGTTTACTCAGGCGGAGGGGCGGAGACTCCCAGGAAGGCGGGGACTTCTCCTAGCTGGGTGAAGGGCCAGACGCAGGCCCGGGGCGGGCGCGCGCACGAGCTCTAAACCCGCTACCCCAGCCACGGACACACCCGGGAACACACACGCCCAGGCTCGACAGCTAAGAGCCAGGCCCTCAATGGCTCACACACTTACACAGCACTAGTTGGTGAGCACGTTTACAGGTGATGCACAATTCCACGTTCAGATGTGGTGCCTTCCCGTGGCCCCAGCAGGAACTCCAGTGACGCTAGAAACCAGTGTAGACGAGGGCCGGGGATTTAGCTCAGTGGCATCGAGCCTGCCTCGAAAGCAAGCAATGTAGACGAGGCCCAAGGCCTCACTCCTGCCTTCACCCACAGACCTTCCCCGACACTCCTGGCTTGTCTGCACCTTAGGTCTCTGAGGACAGGGTGTGCTAGTAGTGTCCGAGCCTGTGCGCTTCCTAGCGTGGCCACGTATCTTTGGGGGTCTGGGTCCAATCTTGGCTTCTGTGACAGAGGCCTTTTCAGGATGGGTGAGAGTCGCTGTTGTACTCTGGAAAATAGCTTGGCGACTCTGGCTAGGTGTCACCTCTGCAGGGGAACTGGGGAATGGGGGTGCTGTCCAAGACATTCCTCTCTAGGCTCCTTTGGGCCTGTTGCTTCCAGGAAGATGTCAAGGAGAAAGGTTAGGGTGGTGAGGTGGCTTCTCTGTCCCAATAGGAAAAGGGCAGAGAATCCAGCTCTGGGCCAAGCCAAGGCAGGATGTCAGGAACCTTAGCCTCTTTTCATCTGTAGAATGGTCAGGGAGTGTTTATGGCCCACACATGTGCTCGCTGTCAGGGTATGTCCACAGTGTGTATGTCCATGGTAACATGTATGTTTGTGTTTGTGGGCAGTGGCATGTGTATTCCTAGCCTCACATATCACACATGGACCACAGATAGACATTTACCCTGGACACACAGTATAGCACAATCTCTCTCTCTCTCTCTCTCTCTCTCACACACACACACACACACACACACACACACACACGTACACAGAGCTCCTGATAAAGGTACCATGGGCAGACAGTGAACACTGAATTGCTGTCATGGTGACAGAGGGCAGTTGCTGTGGACTGGAGGGTACCCTACCCCATGCCCTGGGCAGTGATAGAATGACCCTGTAGTGACCGGATTAATGAGGAGAGAGGGGACAGGGTCAATGAGTCTTAGGAAGCAGAGCACTGGCTGTTGTTTCTGGCCTCTATGCTGTGTGCACATGTGTGCCTGTGTGTGCACCATACCCACCTTTGTTGTCACTGGGAAGCTGGTGTGTGTGTGTGTGTGTGTGTGTGTGTGTTTACCATCTGGGGTCCACCTTGAAGTGGCCTGGGTTGACCCCGGAACCTGGGTCAGTGGGGACAGTGTTCTGTGGCTGGGGTGAAGATATGCTCCGGGAGGCTGCTAGGGACAATGAGGGGATGTTTCCCTGTCTGGGCCTGGCCCCCTCATTAGGCTCATTGGGCTGTTCTGCTCCAGCCTTTCTGATTCTGAATCTCTGGGAGAATCTGGAGGAGTCAGGCCCTCAAGAAGAAATTATACTAAACCCCTTCTCCTGGGGATTCTCCACTCACTGGATGGGCCCTATCAGGTGGCCCCCTCCCTACCCTCATCAAGGTGCCTGCCCCCGTGGGGCAAACAGGCCCATTTCATACTTTCAGCAGAATTCCTCTGGCCACCAGTCAGGGTAACTCTGATTAGATGGTTGCAGGGAGTGCTTGGTCACAATTAATCAGTGGCCAGGCTGTATGGGAGAAGCCACCCAGGCAGGAGCCCCACCCCAGGGGCACAAAGGGGGTGATTCTTCCAGCCTCTGGAGCTAGAGGAGCGAGAAGGGGAAAAGTCACCCTGCCACAAAGCCAGGGAGCCTCTAGGTGGGGGCTCAGCATGTTCTTAGCTGGGCTGTGGGCCCCCTCCCCTCAGCCCACCCTGGTTCAAATCTTGCTGCATGCACCATCTAATGTATACCCTTGGATGAGATACAAGGTGCTCTCTGCCTCAGGCTTCATTTTTTTTCCCCCAGGGCTGAGGATGGAGCCCACATCCTTGTGCATGCTAGGCAAGTGCTCTACCGCTGAACTACATCTTCAGGTCCCAAGCTTTAACTTTAAAATAGGGATAACCTGGGAATGGTGGTGCAGGCCTGTAGTCCCAGGACTCAGGAGTCTGAAGCAGGAGGACAGAGCTTTAAGTTTGAGGCCAGCCTGGGCTACATAGTGAGTTCAAGGCCAGCCTGAACGCCATAGAGAGACCTTGCCTCAAAACCAAACAAAATAAAACAAAACAGGGATAAAGTAATGCCTCCTTCCTAGGATCTTTATAAAGGAAGTGTAAAGCATGTAGCAGAGTGGCTGGCACATAGTAGGTGCAGGAACTTCTGTTATTGTTACTGTTATTTTAAGTTCAGAACAGGCAGAGAGCAGAAAGAATCCAACAGCCAATGAGATTTTGACACCTACGTCCACAAATGGAGGGAGGTGACCCTTGGGATCTACCACAATTTCCCTCTCCCCATTCAGACTTCTCCAGGAGGATAGGGAGCCAGTCTGGGACAGCCTGCCCTGAAGGGAGGGAGCCCAGGCACTCTCCCTCCCTTCTTCTTCTCTCTAGCCCAAGTATCTGGGAATTGGGGGTGGGGTGAGTAGGAGAGGCAGAATCTGAAGTGGTTCAGTGGCTCAGTTGTTTCCGGCCAGAAGCCATTACCTTCCTGGAGAGAGAAGCCTATGGCCCACCTGAGGCTGGGGCAAGGCCATGGGGGTGCAGATTATAATGGGACTCCAGGTCTGCCCTGGGGCCTGCTTGCCTTCCCCCTTCCCCTTCTCTGCCCAGGTAAAGAGGCAAAGTCCTTGCCTTTCTCTAGTTTGGGCAGGTCCTGAGGGTGGGAGCAGAGGGACCAGCAAAGAATGACAAAGACAGGTCCCTGTCCACTGTACCTTCATAATTGATTGTGCCTACTGTGTGCTAGGCCCCAGGCTTCTGTTGACTTTGTATCCTTGACACAGCTGGAAAGCAGCAGGGGCCTTTTCAAGATAGTCATCCAATTATCTAGCCTGGAGGGAAGGACTGGGCAGTGGAAAGGGAGGAGTTGCAGAGGGAGGAGGGCAGACTGGAGGAGAAGGGCTTGAGACTGCCTGCTGGCTTTGAGTGGCAAGTGTGTTGTTTTGTAAAGATTGCCCACTATTTGGAGTGATTCAGGACTGCTGGTGTTTGAGGGGAGCACTAAAGCCATTCCCTGACACCACCCCTGGGATCAAGCCCAGGGAAAGCTCCTGCCTATGAGAGTCCAGGCGCAGAACCCATTTGAGCTCAATCTCTTGAGTCATCCCCATGGGTAAGGGGGGGTCAGTAAGGGCTCAAACCCTGAGCTTGGGGTGTATCCATACTCTTATCCAGGAACAGCGTCGTGTCCAACGAATTTCTTCACAGCCCTCATGCAGAGCATTCTGGGAAGGGCTCCTTTTGCCCCTTCAGTAAGTGGTGTCTTTCCAGGTGCTGTGAACCTTCCAAGGATGAACTGAACAGGACTCTTCCCTAGTGATTGCCACTGAGTCCTCATTCACCTTACCCTCTCCTCCCAGATCAGCAGTAGAGATAGTTTTTGGAGTCAAGGAAACGCAAGTTCAAGTTCTGGACTTGCTGTTCACAGACTTTGAGATACTAAGTTATTTGATTTCTCTGTCTCTCAGCCTCCTCCTCATCCGTAAAGTGGGGATAGAAACAGTCTTTATCTCTGGTCTGTAATGAAGATAAAGTGAGCTAATGACTGGGAAGCACTAACTCAATAACTGGAAGCTATTTTTATTGCATTTCCCCATTTCTTTGTTTACAGAGCTTAACACAGGTATAGGCCCATAGGAGTCTTGTTGAATGAATACCAATTTTTACGTTGTTCATTTCCTTTCTTTACTTCTGGTTTCATTTCCTTCCATCTTTCTCTATCCCCATGACTTAGATGGAAAACATCATAAGAACCTCTTGTGTCCCTCTACGTACCCACCCATGAGCTTAGCTTGAAAATGGTGCCAGGATCTATACGCAATAATGAGATCTGAATGTAGGGTTTGGCTCTGTAAATGAGGACAATGTGTAAAGTTTTGGGCTCTGAAAGTGGTAACGTGATCTGCAAATTATCATGGGATTTGTGACAGTGACAGACTCAGAAATCAGTGATGGGATGCACTCTGCAGATGTTAATTGGCTCTGCAAACATCTATGAGATTTGCATCTTATTTCAGGCTCTACAGACAATGACAGGCTCTGTGAACAGTGATGGGCCTTGTAAAGCGGTAATGATTGTAATGGGCTGTAAGAACAGTGATGGCAGTGGACTGGGGATTTAGCTCAGTGGTTCTGCCACCTACCTCAAAAGCACAAGGTCTCGAGTTCATTCTCCAGTACTGAAAAAAATAAAAAAAAGAACAGTGATGGCAAGCTGTGATGGACTCTGGGAAAATGAGTAAGAGTTCCTACCTGTAAAGGACAAGAGGTCCCCTACTACAGGTCCTAAAGACCAAAGCTCTATCTCAGGATTACAGACAGCATGATCCTCCCCCTCTCTTCTCTTCCAAGCCCAACTAGAGTTCCTCTGTCCATTTGCTCGGTGTTGGGGGTAGGGGATGGAATAGAGAAATGAGACAAGGAGCTGAATAAGGCTTGTGTCTCTACTCTCGAGGCTTTGAGAAGATAGACTTTTAAGTAGTCAAATGGGGACTTGTGTCTGTGATGACAGATCTGGTCCCAGCCCAGCTATTTGTGAAGTGGAAGGTGTCTTTCTACTCCAGAGGCTCTTAGAATGTTAAAAGGATGTGTAAACCACACTGGGGATTGTGGAGGAACTGAGAAGACAGCTTTTCAGGGCGTGTCTTTCAGGCTTAAATTCTAGCTGGCACCTGAGTAGCTTGGTAGCTTGGTAGCAATTTAAATTCTGTTTCCGTTCTTTCCAGGTTTGGCCAGAGAACATGCACACCCCTCAGAACACAGGGCCTAGGGAAGGCAGAAGCAGGAACCTGCTCCAGATAGGCTGCAGTTGATGCGCTGAGGACCCATGTTGGTTGAGACTGGTGATGGGGTGATGATCACAGTGGTGGAGATGTGGCGCTAATGTGCTAAGGGTGGGGGTGGACGGAGCTGGGGTGTGGATAATGGTGGAGGCGATGGGCAAGTGCCAGTAACAGGCAAAAGGTGACAATGCATGCTATCTCCAGGGTGGTAGGCTATGACTTTAGTAATAATAGCATAGCCTGGGTTGACCTGTGGTTATGACATGTGCTAGCTATGTCACCTTAGGCAAGTCATTTCAGTTTTCTGTGTCTTGGTTTCCTCATCTGTACTAGAAAGATAATAATGCCTCCTAAAATAGTGGCTGGTATATAGTAAATATTATGTGAGTGACAGCTACTATTACTATTAAGGAAGGCAGAGAAGGGGATGATGATGAAAGAGATGGTGGGGATGGAGCTGATAATGATTAGAAAAGGAACAATAATAACAACAAAGAGGTTTGTTGAGCAGTATGTGTTCTGTACTGTTCTAAGCTTTCTTGGTAGTGACTTGTTTGATCACTGCAACCCTGTAAAGCAGCTAATATTATCTCCATATCAAAGGTAATAAACTGAGGCTCAGAGGGGTTAAACAACATACCAAAGCTAACACACACGGGAACCAGGAGAGCTCCAGAGCCTGTGTTCTTAACCACTTGCCAAATGGTGACAATGGTGGAGTTGGGGGACAACAATGATAAGTGCTCCGCGCATGTGGAAGCCAGGATATCAGTAGAGGTGGCCTGGGTGGCAGTGGTGTGGTCATGGAGGACATGTAGGTGACAGGGCATGCAGAGGCAGTGAAGGCCTGTGATAAGAACATCCATGAGGCCTGGTGCAGTGGCACACACCTGTAATCCCAGCCCTTGGGAAGCTGAGGCAGAAGGATCACTAGTTTAAAGCAAGCCTAGACTACATAGCAAGTTCAAGGCCAACTGCATAATGAGACCTCAAAAACACAAAGAAAAAAAAAATCCACTGGCCAAGCTCCCAGCAGGGCTATATGTGGCTGCTGAAGGGAGGCTCTGGTGGGATTCTTGCAAACTGGGGTAAGGATTCCTGGACTTCTATGTTCTGCTCTGAAAGCAAGAGGGCAGCAGGGATGTCATTTTTAGTCCAGCAGCTGGGGGCTTTGGGTGCCAGGCAGTGAAGTGGGAGGGTGACAGCCAGATCTTGGGGACACTGTGTGGAAGAGGCATGGACTGAGCTTTCCATTTGTCCTTCAGGTTTCCTGGATTTGGCATCTTCTGACCCTGTAACTACCCAGTCCACACACTTCCTGCCGGGGCTGTCCATGCTAATGGAGCAGACAGTGGCGAGGTAAGCTGCCCATCCCATCCTGGAACTCCAGTCTTGCCTGTCCAGTGCTGGCTCTAGCCTGCCTCTTGCTTGGTGCTGCCTTAATAGAGAATCCACCTCTGTGCCGCTGCTCCCTGCCTGCCAGCCCGTCCCTATTATCAGCACTATCATTGGCGGCAAATGACACTCTCGGAATCTTGACTCCAATCTGATGCCTGGTCCCTCTGGGCTGTGGAGAGGCGTAAGCCGGCCAGGCTGGGGGGCTGGGTAGGGATGTGCGGTAATAGGATGTGGCTGAGGATGGTCTATTAGCAGCTCTGCAACTGCTGATGCGCCTTCTTCCTGGCCCCTTGGCATCCCCATCCTCTGTCAGGCTCAGCAAGAGCCCTGGGAGGGGGCAGCTGTGAAGGTGGGGCTGGGCTAGGCCATCTCCTGAATCCAGACACCCTACTCCCTTGGGGGCCTGGAAGGAGGAGAGGGAGCAAGGAGGGCACTCAGACACATCCTTCTGACCATGTATCTAGGAGGAAAAGGAGTAGGCCAAGGGGTCCTTCTGAGAGGGGGTGATTTTTCTTGTTGTTACCTTGCATTGTCCTGGGCCTCCAGTCTGGAAGGAACCTCAGAGAGAGTTGCATCCAGCTTCCCTTCTCTAGCCTTTTTGTCTTTTTGAGATAGGGTCTCACTATGTAGTCCAGGCTGGCCTCGAACCCACACCAATCCTGCATCCCACAGCACCACACCAGCCTTCTAGCATCTTCTTGAACACTTGTAGGCATGTAAAGCCCAGCACCTCCCCGGAGCCACCTGTCTCACTGCTAATGCTTCCTCATTTGGAGCCCTGATTGGCTTTTCTTGGTACCAGGGTCCTGAGATCATTTAGGTCCCTCACCTACAAACAAAACCCACAGGGTTTGGAGACAGAAGGTAGGTTTCAAGTCGGCTTCCTTGGACCTCACTGCTCTTCTTGGCCACAGATCTTCTGTCCTAAGTGTAGTGTGTGAGTGTGTAAAGGTTGTAAGAGACTGCAGCACACGGATGGGGATGGCGAGAGATGGACGGAGTGCAGGACATGCAGGTTCCAACCCAGCTCATCTGCTGGGTGATCACAGGAGAGCTACCCACTCCCCACCCTGTCCTGCTCTCCTTCCTTGCCCCTTCTCTAAAGGCTCCTCTTGAGAGAAGGGGGATGATGAAGTCCCTCGGGGCTGGACAGATAGAGTATAATTAAACCCCCTTTCCCCACACAGCATCAAGGGCATGCAGGAAAATGAAACAAAGAGTAAATAATGAGCTCAGGCTTGGCTGTGTGGGCAGGCAACGAGGCACACTAAGCTGGAAGGAAGGGCTCTGTCCTATCTTGAAGGGTGCCTGGCAGGTAAGTAGTCTGATTATTTGGGTCAGTTGGACAGTGCTCACTCCTGGGCCCTTTACCAGGACAGAGGGGCTGGGCCTGCCTGAGCTAGGACCCCTGGGCTAGCCAGGAATAGGAGGGAGAGGGGCATGGCCTAACTCAGCCCTCCCCTCCAGGTCTAGGCCTCTGACTACGTCACTGAACTCCATTTGTTCTGCCCACTGCCTCCACCATGCCCCGTAGTCCAGAGGCCACAGATGTCCAAGCTGTTTGCCTCTGTTGAATGGCTGCCCTCAGTACTCCCAGCAGGGGCCTGGCCATCAGTCACAGGGCTGGCGGTCCTCAGGGCTGGACACGCAGCCTCTTGGGCAGGGCTGACTGTGGGCTGGCAGTGGGGCAGGTGGCTGCAAGCAGCAGCTGCTGTTTGTGGGCCCCCTTGGTGGCCTCTGTTCACTCTGGACCTTCCATGCCCCTTATGCTGGTCCCCAGCTCCCCTGTATCCTCATTTGTGCCCATCTCTCCTTTCTTCTATCTGTGTCCACCTTACCTGTCCTGTGCATTAGGCCCTCTCACCTGTGCCACTTGGATCTGTCCCGTCTCCCTCCAGCAGGTCCCACTTCACTATCCCTTCCTCCCCAGTGTCTGAGTCACATTGGCCCAGACTTACTTCTCCTTGTCCTAGCCCCCCTTTTCCTGTGCTAATCTCTTCTTCCTCTTTTCCCCTTAAGGGCTGAAAAGGGAGGATTGAGGTGTGAAATTCCATCTCCCCAACAACTGACCCTACCTCAGCCTGGCCATCTTCTTTTCTAGTTATCTGCTACTGGACAATTGGGACCCCAGCGTAGGATAGATTTTTGATCCAACTAAGGGCATCTAGAGATGAGAGAAGGGGCCTATTTATTTTGAAGTTGTAAAAATCCTGGCTAGGAAACCCTGGGGAGAGTGCAGTTCTAAAAGTTTGACAGCAGGGGGCGCCCGATCCTTGGAGACGTCTGGCTCATCTGTCTCAGAATCCATAGCTGGAATTACCCAAAGGGGTAAATGTGAAGTATGTTATGTGTGGGAACCCTAGAGGTCCCTCACTAGAGGTGAGCTTTGTCACAGTCTGAAGTTCGCTATGATTTTTAGCTTTTTAAAGACACTCTTATCTGTTCCCCTAAATTACTTCTTTATTTGAAAGCCTGCAAACATAAGTAAACTAGCACTTCAGGCCCTTGAGGAAAGTGGTAGGAAGAGGTGCTCTGGTTCCTCCTGAGAGGGCCATCTCCACTGTCCTCAAGCCTCGGGGATGCTGGCCATTTTGGTGAAGATAAGGAATAAGAGTCTCCTCGTAAGCCTCATCAACAGGCAGTGTGCCCAGTCCACAGAACTTTCACACCTGTGCCAGCTTGAGGAGAAAGCAGTTCAAGGCCAGCCATGCCCAAGGTGTCTCCTACAGACTTCCCGTCAGGTGTATAGTGACACAGAAGAGACGGATAGGGCTGGGAATGGTGGGCCTTCTCTGTTTGACAGTGGGTGCATTCATAGTATGTGCACAATGACGAGAGAGAGAGAGAGAGAGAGAGAGAGAGAGAGAGAGAGAGGAGAGGAGGAGAGAGGGGATTGTTGTTCTGGTCCCACAATGAATCCTGAGTGCTGCAGTGTTCCCTTATCCCCTACTTGAAGAAGGGGCTGAGTCTGGGGGTCAGGTCAAAGCCACAGTGTGTGACATGGATTCCAACCAAGTGAAGCAGCCCCTAGCCAGCACCACCAGCCTCTTTGTTTTTGGTGCTTGAAGATTCACTATTAAAGTTTGACCTCCCGGGAAGGAAGGCACTTCCTCAGATTTGAATCATGTAGTCATTTCTATGGCTCTGTGATGTGACACCACAGGGGCTTGAAGAGGACCCAGGCATCTAGAGACAGAGCTAAACTGAAGAAGGCCAGACCTGATGGGGTGAGGTCTTTGGATAGATAGCCATATGACCTAGGGCAAAAGGAACAGCCTGGGCACTCATTTCAGGGAACATTCACACCTTTTTGTGTCTCCCAGTGTGCTGGGAACTGGAACTGAGATCCTTCCTAACATGCCCCCACTCCACTCCAGCAGGCCATGGGAGGTTGGTAAATATCCTAATCAGATTAGCAGAGTGAAGACAGCAGAGGCAATGGTGGGAAAATGCTCTGGGCTGGCCTGGCCCCCACCATTCTCCTGGGAATCCAACCCTCTTGCCCCTGTCCAACCTCTTCCCTGTGGGCCCTGAAGCCATCCTGACTCCTCAGTAGCCTCTGCTGGCCTGGGTGACCCGCTGCAACCAGTCCTCTTTGAGCCTGGTGAGATTTCTGCATCCTGAGTCTACTAGGGGAGAGAGGGGGTTTCAGAAAGCCTGAACTTGTTGACACCTGTCCCCAGGAAGCTAGCCCTGTGGGCTGCTGTTCTCAGACCACTGACTCTGCAGAGACCCTGACTCTTCCTCTGGCCCTGTGCTGTTTGCCTGCAAGGCTGGAATGGTGCATCGGGATTCCAGAGTGGTCTTGATGGAGGGAGTGTCTGGTTAAGGCCTGGATTTAATCAAGGTTGAGTCAGTCACATCCCTCCTCAGCCTTCTCTAAGGCCAGGCTGAGCACAGGGCTGGGCACACTAGGTACAAGGAAGCCTGGTCAGATGGGGAGGGGCAGAGTGGGCCAGATCTACCCCATGGAAAGACCAGGCCACCAAGCCAGTGCAGGAGGAAAAGGGGTGGCTGAACAGTTGCTGGTGTTCTATGAAGCTGGACCCGGGGAGCTGGGCATGAAGGCTGGGGAGAGTGAAGTGGCCTTAAGAACTGGGGGCTGAAAATCAGGAGGTAGAGATTGGGTTCCTGAGGGTTTGGGAGTCTGGGGGCGGGATGGGGATGAGAAGTGAGATGTCAGAAGATTGGAGGCCAAAGGGTTTAAGTCTGGGTCACTGAGGAATGGGATGATATTAGGGGGTTGAGGATTTAGTGTATTGGGGAATCTAGGGGCCAGGAGTTAAGAACTGAGGTGTTGGGGGAGAGGGTATCAGTACCTGAGAAAAGGTTGAAATTTTCAGGGCCTGAGGAAATAGCAGGCCAATGGAGCTGAGAGAGGAGGTAGAGAAGCAAGTCTCCCTGAGAGCAAGGTTCATAAGTGTACAGGGGAGAGTGTGGGCCAGTCCCAGGCCAGGCCTCCCTCTGCTCCTGTGGCCACACTGGGCCACGGGGGCGGGCAGCGGGTCTCTCCTTGTGGGACTGTCAGAGCGGGTTAGGCTCAGGGAATTGGTTCTCTGGATCATCTCCCAGGAGCCAGCCCCTCCTGGCAGCTTTGTTTGGCGAAAGCCAGGGATTAGCAGAGCTGCCCCCAAACCACCTCCCAGGCAGCCAGCTCCTGGCGCTTTCATCCCTGAAGGTCGCTAAAGCCTAGCGCTTTGAGATTAGGCCCCACAAAGGGGCCCCTTGTGCTTCTGCCAAGCCTTGGGGCTGGGGGAGGGGGGGTGTCCCAGGAACTGAGTGCAGGCCCAGCCCCTGAGACAAATCCTTCTCTCCCTCCCTGGTGCATCCCAAAGCATCCCAGGGCAAGGGCAGAAGACCTCTCCCAACCCCCTTCCCCTAGTTCAGATACTGCTTCCCTTTGGTCCCTGGCAAGGAGCATCCCAGGCCTAGCCTGGCCCCCAGCATATCGGACCCACCTGGGGCCACCTCAGGGTGGAGGTGGATGGGGAGCTGAGGAGGCCAGCGTAGGGGTGGGAGCAGGTCCAGATCTCAGGTGGAGAGAGAACCTTGGTCACAGACTGGGAGAATGGGCAGGGTCCACAAAGAGGAGGGGACTTGTCCTGAGTCATACAAGGTTGCTTGCAGAGCTGAGGCAGCAATGTGGTGAGGTTCCCTTTTTGCCAGCTGTTTGAGGTCAGCAGGGGTTCAGGATGGGATGGAGTAATTTGGGGCTTCTACCATAGAAGAGAGTGGCATTTCATAGGCCAGCCAAAAAATGTTGTAAATGTGAGTTCCAGCATAAAGTTGCCAGATAGTAATTTTGCCATAAAAGGGCATAGAGGAAACACTCCCAACTACTGTCAGATCATTTCATAAAAGAAAATACAGGTTGGCGTCAAAAAAGTAGAAAAGACATAATCCTGGAATATAGAAGATAGAGCTTCAAACTGAAGAGATGTAGCTTTATGAAAAATTTCCTACTAAAACATTATTTTTCTTATTTACTAGTATTTGGGAGAAATGTCTTGGGACTCCTAGACAAGGTGAACTTTGAAAGGGTGCCTGTTATGAGTACCTAGTTCTCCTTGATTCGAGGTCTGCCAGGTCTGTGCCTGGAGTGGACGGGAGTGGGTATTTGTTTGAGATCTGGCACTGGGGAGGTTGGGGGAAGGGGCCCTGAGACTGGGCTGGCTGCTGGTTCAGGGCCTCTGCTGAGAAGACAGTCTTGGCCTTGGCCTTTCCATTGCCAAAGAGACTTAGGAGGGGGAGGGAGCAGCCCTGACTGCAACTGTGGTCGATACAGGGAAATTTCTTCCTGTCCTCTCACTCATAAAATGTTTGTGGCCAACATATTGTACAACATTCCCAGAGAGACTACAAAAGGCAGTGCTGGGCTGGCAGGGTCAAATGGAGCTCATGGAGCCCAGTCCCTGGAATCAGTTCCCAGCTGGGGGACCCCTGGAGCTGGCAATGGGGAGGGGCCCAGCGTAACCGGCATGGTGGTGGTGGTAGATACAGGAGATTAGCAAGAGGAACAGCAAAGTGCTCCATAAATCCCTCATTAAGAAAGTGTCCACAGGAAGGGATGCCATGAGAGGTAAAAACTGACAGCCATTAAACTGATACTTTGGTGACATATTACCACATACTGGGCACTATGCTGAATTTTAATTCATTTAATTGCTATAACAAACCTAGGTAGTAAGTATGATTACTTGCTTATTCCCACCATTTAACAAATAAGAAGACTTGGGCTGGAGATTTAGTTCAGTGGTTTCGCAGCCTGCTGCACAAGCACAAGGACCTGAGTTCAATCCCTGGTACCAAAAAAAAAAAAAGAAGACTGAGGCATAGAGGTTAAGTGACTTGCCCAAGGTCATAGCTAGTAAGTAGCACAGCCTGGGCTTGAACCCAAGCCATCTGGCTCTGGTATCCATGCACTGACTACCATATGTGCTATACTGCTGCACTGTGGTCCTAAGCAAGGGTAACCTTTGAGTTTCCACTGTTACCTGGCCAGGCCCTCCCACTGCAGAAGTCAGTGGTTTTCCTGGGGCTTGGGGCCATCAAGAGGTACTTGTCTGGTAGATACATGGTAGAATGGAAGTGTACCCTTACCCCCTTGTGGTGGTTTAAAAAAATCTGTCCACAAATTCTTTGAGGCATCTTCCTTTGAGAGATGGAGCTTAATGCTCTTCTTGAATGTGTGCTGGTCTTGGTGACTAGCTTATAATGAATAGAATATGGCAGATGTGATGGGATGTTCCTTTTTTTTTTTTGAAACAGGATCTTGCTATGTATTCCAGGCCCACCTTGAACTTACTATGTAGCCCAGATTAGCCTCAAATTCACAGTGATCCTCCTGCCTCAGCCTCCAAGTGCTGGGATTACAGGCATGTGCAACCACGTCTGGCAAGATATCACTTTTGAGAATAGGTTATAAATCACTCCCTTCTCTTTGTTCTGTCTCAGATCCCAGTTACCATATGAAGAAGTCCAGATTTGGGGGATGTAGCTCAGTGGTAGTGTGCTTGCCTAGAATGGGTGAGGCCCCAGGTTCAATACCCAGTACCACGCCCAGAAAAAAAAAAAGAAGTTCAGATTCCAGAGACCACATGGAAAGGAACTAAGGCACCTCAGCTGACAGCTAGCATCAAGTGCTGTCCACAGGAGTGAGCTTCCTAGAAGAGGACTCTTCTGCCCCAGTGAAGAGATGATACAGCCCTGGCCAACAGCTTGGCTGCAGCCTCATGAGAGACACTGAGCCAAAACCACCCAGCTAAGCTGCTCTTGGATTCCTGACCCTCAGAAATTGTCACTGAATAAATGTTTGTGGTAAACCATTAAATTTGGGTGTAGTTTGTTATGCAAAGGTGGATAACCAGTACCCCAGGCTGGTCTCCTAGTCTGGAACCTCACCATTGGAGCTTCACCCTACAGGAAGGTTGTCACTCTCTCCCCCATGACTCTCTCCAACCTTGAGATAATTTCTGGGCTAATGCTGATTTGCTGGATCAGATGATAGCAAGATGACACCTCCAATCTGATTAGGAGATGCCGTTCTGAGAATGGTGGGTAGCCACTTCATCATTCTTGACCCATCCAGCCTAGGCCAGTGGCAGTCACCACCAAGTGGCTTGGATGGTCACATCACTTACTACTTCACAGATTTCCTACATGGCTGCTTCTCTCCCAGAAAAAAAACACCCCCTTAGCGGACAGCAAGGGGTCTAGGCTGTCACAGGGCTGAGGGATTGAGAAGAATTGTGTTTGGAAGGACCCAGGGGCCACAGAGCCCATGGTTAGGTCCAGATATCAGGGACTCTTTCCATTCTCCACTCTACAGTGACCACAGCGTATCTGTGGGACCCCTCAGGATCTTCCAATCTCATTTTAGAGTCCCTACCCTTCTTGGACCACTGACCCAGGGTCAGAAGGTAGTACAATATGACTGTGTGTCTCATGTCACAGTATATATGTATGAGTGCGTGAGGAAATGGAGTGGGAAATATCTGTGGAGTGTGCTGTCAGCCTGCATGTAGCATTTGATTTGTGGTTTCCGGTTGGGAAGGAGTGTGTGCACAGCTATATTTTTGTGTGTACCTGGGAGAGTGTTTGTATGTATCAAAACATGGTTATCTGTATGGTAGCTTTGTTGGGGTGGGGGTCTGTAAGCTTCATCTATGTGTCTGTGTTTGTTGCTTCGGGGATGCTTGTCTGTGTCTGAGTTTCCACGAGCAGGCGCCAGCCCTGGGAGTGCTGAGCTGTTGTCCTCAAAGGGTTAAGGGAAACAGGAGCCGCCATAACTCTTAATCATAGCTTTGCAAGCTTAGCCAGTGCCCCTGTTGAAAAATGTTTCAAAAAGCAAAATAAATGATCTTTTAGTTACAGAAGTATTGATTTTGCCCACATCTAGTAATAAAGAGCAAGTCACCTGTAGCTAAAACTCTTGTAAAATATATTTTATACTCTAATAGTCTGCAGATAGAGTCACCCGCTGAGCACCGATGACAAATCTCCCCAGCGTGTGGCCTGCGCCCCCCATATTTCACATCAGGGACGTGGTGGTGGCGCAGGCAGAGACAGAGCTGGGCCTCCCTGCGGGTGACAGACGTGGCCTGGTTGGCTGGAAGAAAAGAAAAAAAAAGCCAGGTTTCTGGCACATGGTTTGTCCCCCTGCCCCCACCCTGGGCCCTCAGCACCAATCCGGGTCATGGTAGAGGCTCAATTGCTCTGCAGACAGAGCACCCCTCCTACATCTAGATGCTCCCTGAAGGAGCTCCCCCAGGCTCTCAAAAGAGGGCATAAGTCTCTCCACCCCTCATGTTCAGAGGCTGATGGTTTGGAAATGTTGCAGTTGGATTAACAGGAAAGTGAACAAGCAGGCGGATACTCCTTCTTGGCTTGAAAAACACTTAGCCTTGTTGTATACAGACATGTTCATATGTGTGTATAGTTTGGTCCTACAGGTACACACAGAGGGGACATACATGGCCCTGAACACACACATGTGCAGAGTAACCCTTACATACACTCAGAGGATACACCTGGCTCCCACATATGGTACCACGTTGGCTTTATGCACGTGCTCATATGCTCAGGCTCTCCTCTACTGCATATCCAGTCAGTCCTCCACACAGACTGTCCTTCCATCCAGAGAACCAGCCACATCCACTCTGCCCAGAGAATTCCTTCAAGAATTGGGGTTCTAAAAAAAAAAAAAAAAATTGGACTTCTGGGGCCGGGGATGTATCTCAGTGGCACAGTGCCTGCCTGACAAGCCGAGTACCAAAAAAAAGACATAGATTTCTGCCTGAAATGACCAAATAGTCACTCTGCTTCTGGGGACTGGAAGGTGGACCACACTCTTCTCCCTTGTATCAGATATGCAGACCTAGCCAGACATCCACCACCACCCATCTGCCACGCCCCACCTATCAGTGTGGATGGGTGGGAGCCTAGCAGGGGCACTCTGGTCTCTTGCCTGCCTTACTTCTCAGAGCACGTGTAGCTGGACATGGCACTCAGGCCTGTGAGGTCACAAACCTGGCGCCACTCTCTCCTCTGCTCTGATCTACTGAGTGTCCCTGAGCAGGGTCCTGCACTTCTCTGAACCTCTGTTTGCATGAGGCCCAACATTTCCTGGCCTCCCTTCAGGAAGAGCCACCTGATTCACCACATCTCTGGTCAGGGCAGCCTTGGAGGTTTCTTCCCTTCCATACCCTCCAGCCCACAGTCTGCCAGAAAGCACTCCCAAGGCTCTGCTCCCTAGTCCCTCCTGGGCACTGGGTGAACAAGCATAGAACCACCCAAACCCTCCCCATAGCAAGGCTACCTGGAGGCAACGTGGGCAGAAGAAACTCCCTATGCCCAGCTGCATTACAGGAGGAGCTGCCTCCTCCAAGCTGGGAATAAATCGGGGTTTCCAATCCCTGCAAGGAGGAGGTGAGGCAGGAGGAGGGAGGGGAGGAAGGACAGAAGTGGGGAGACCTCTGGGTGTAGGGAAGCTCCAGAGGAGTTGAGCGGGTAAGTCAGGTAGTATTGGGAGGAAGGTTGGGAGCTGGAGGGGGCCAGGAGTTCCTGGGGAATTTGGAGAGCGCTGGGGGCGAGAGGCAGGTGGAGCAGGTAGCAGCTTGGTCTAGGGGAAAAAGGAAGGGGGCAGGAAGCTGAGCGTGTGTGTGTGTCGGAGTCAGGATTATGCAGGGGCATCTTTGGTGGTGAGGGGCTCCCTGCAGGAGGGAGGGGGCAGAGCAGGTAGCTGCCCCGCGCAGGGATTGGGGGTGGGGTGAGGGGCGGGGAGAGCTCTTTAAGCGGCGGCCGCGCTAATAACCTGTCCAGGAGATGGCTCGTGGCAAATTGCTTTGTTAGTCTTGTCAGCGCGGCCGGGGCCGCCGTCAGCGCGCGCCATGGATCAAGATGATGAATCGCCCCGGACGGCGCAGATGCGGGCGGCTCGAGGCCCGGCCCCGGGGTAGGAGTGGGCGGTGGAGGGGTCCGCAGGGGGCCGGGCAGCCACCATTAACTCCCGAATTAGCTCTAAGCCGCCCACCACCCAGCCACTGCCCCCAGAGGGGAGGGGGTGTAGGTTGGGGAGACTCCCGCCACCCCACCCCGAACTTGGACCTACGGCTCCCCACTCTGGTCCGCGACAGGGAAGGAAAGGAACACGATCTCCACCGCCTCCCCCAGCCCACTGGGGTCGCAACCAGGTGTTCGAGCTTGCGGGAGGGGGGTGGGGGGCTCCTGGAAGGGCGGCGCTGAGAGTACTAGGGAGGCTCCAAGTTCCATTTCAGAGCGAGTGTGCGTGTGTGTGCGTGTGTGTGTGTGTGTGTTGTGTGTGTGTGTGTGTTGTGTGTCTTGGGGGTGGGTGGGTAGGAGTCTTGAGCTTGGCATTCTTACTCTATACCCAGTTCAGAGACCAGAAATGGTGGTGCTCTTAGGCACATCCTTTCCCAGATCTTTCGGGGAAGACAACTGCGACCCAGTGTCCTTGGAGCTGCCAGACCAAACGGAAACTCCTGAGTGCCTGGCTTCCCAAGTTCCTGAATTAACCCATCCCTTGTCCACACCCCCGGTATAAAAATATCCCCCTAAACACACATACAAGCACACTTAGGAATTTATAAACAATCCACATTAGCACACTGCATTCACATACATATAGATTTAAATTCTGACACTTTACACACACACACACACACACACATATATATATATATTCTTAAACACAGAATACAGGGTAATGAATTTGAACAAATGTGCAAGCACATCCAGAAATGCACAGCTTCTTGTACTCTCCACCCTAGCCCCCCAGGTCTGTCTATTGGGGGGCGGGTTCCCAGTTCCTCTGGGGCTCTTTTTCTTAAGCCCTTTGAAGATATCAGCCCCAGGCCCAGGCAGGTAGGTGGGAAGGCTCCAGGAGAAGTCTTGGGAGGAAGGCCCCAAACCATTTCCATTTCTTAGCTCCTGTCTAGATGGTGGCATTTTTCAGAGTGGTTTTGTTAAACCAGTAAAACCTACCCATGTTGTGGCACAAACTTCCTGCTGTTCCAGCCCTCTCTAAAAGACACACTCCCCTTTCCTGACCTACTCTGTTTTCCTCCAAGACTTTCTATCCCAGTAATGGAGCTTGCCAAGGATTTTGTGTCCCACCACCCCAGAATCCACAGTCAACCCAGAGCCCAAACCCTGGGCTGCAATATCTGTGAAAGTGGGGGCTGGGGGTTGGTAACTGTGACTGAGTGAAGACAGCTCTGGCTGTCCGTGGTGCTCCCCTGTATAGAAGCCTGTGTGCCCCTGCACGTGGATCTGCCTGGCAGTGTGAGCTTCTCTGGGTGTTCACAAATCCAGGGCTTATGAGATCAGATATGTATAATGAGGACTGGACATACTGGCCACCTGCCACCAAATGCAGTCCTGGGACAGCTTTCACTGATGGGGACCTTGGCAGCCTGGGATAAGAGGCAAGCAAGAGTTTCTCCAGGTGGATTTAGAGCCCATGTGGCAGACAAGTTCCTTCTAAGAGCAGGTGCTTAGTTGAGCTCTGTGCTCTACCACCTGGAGTCCTTGATAGTCCTCTGCCAACCAGCAGAATCTATGCTATCCTCAATCACCCTGACCCCTCAGTCTGGGCAAGTGTGGCCTATGTATGTGCAGGGATAATCACCCACCAGCCTTCCCAGAAAACCCTGTCCTGTCCAAGATGACTCTGGGCAGAAAAAGATGATACTTCCTTCTACTGGAAGGGGAGCCCTAGTTGGAGCAAGATTCCTCTTGGTGGAGGGCACTTCTCAGCAAAACTTCCTGGCACC